CAAGAGTTTTAGAAGACAGGCATCTTTTTGTGGTTATCTCTCTCTTGGAGGTGCTGAACCAGTCGATTGTATTCTTTGTCAATGTTGTCAACGACACCAACTTCCCATGTTGCCGCAATAATGCCATAGAGCTCCCAGTTGGTAGCCATTCTGGGAATTCTCTTCTTAAACTTTGCAGCCCTTTCTCTCCGCTCCGTGAAGTACAATTTTTTATGAAGGAGACTGTGGGCCGATCCCATTTGGAATTTTGGGACAACAGCAACATCGGTCAGGAAAAACCATCGATTGAATATGATGTGGTCAATTTTGTTGTGGAACCATTCACCGGGAGACTTCCATGTCCAATGTTTAGATTCGGCCTTCTGGAACTGTGATTTATCATGGATGGTCCTGGTCAACGTGATGAACTCAGATAGTCTCTCACCCTGATCATTCCACTCTAGGCCATGGGTCCCAATATGGAGTTCCTCGGCTGATCTTCTTGGTCCTATCCTGGCATTAAAATCACCCACAATTATCTTGTAGAAGGTGGTCTTCTTTATAGAACTTCTCCAGCTCCATGTAGAAATTCTCAATTTCTTCTTCATCATAATTGGATGTTGGTATGCAGACAACGAAGATAGCAACTGCTGGCAGTGAGCCACATCTACTCAAGTGTAATCATCCGATTCGAGTTGTTAGGCATTCAAATGAATCAATGCTCATGGCCAAGTTCATGTTGACAGGGACACCAACACCACTGAAGCCTTTTTTGTTGCATGTTCCAAGGAACAGTTCTTCTCCAGTGTTGAAAACCACGTGATGTGATTGATGCCTTCTCGTCTCGGTCAGACCAATGATGTCATACTTGATTCTTTCACGCTTGCACCATCAGGTCCTCGATGGATGCATCCGATGCCAGAGTATGTGCATTGAAAGTACAGACAGTCATTTTTGTCCTTTTTCCTTTTGGCAGCCTAGTTCGGCCTTGAGATTTTATCAGCCTCTCCTACCTCATTCTTCTTAACACTGCCATATTAGTGGCTTTTTCAGGGTCAGGGGAATGAGACCCATTGTATTTACAGGTTTTGGCATATCAAATACGCCATGGATAGCTTTCCAGGGTCTGCCGTGCGGGCGGGATACTCTTGGTAGCTTGCCAGGCTCTCCGAGAGAGATACAGGCTTTTAGGGAAGCCTCTCATCGCCCTTGCAGATGTTCTCATGGTTCAAACCATATTTAAATCCCATCAAATGTGGTGGGGTAATCTTGAAAGTTGGGTATTAAGTACCTTATGATGAAGTGTCACCCCTTATAGTGAAATAAATTTCAAATGAATTGACAATTTTTTAATGCTAGGTTACATTTATTACCTTGAGTTTGGAAGATCCTTCCATGGCACAAATACATAAGGAAAACATCTAATAAATGTGATTATACAAATTTAAAGTTTATGTCTGGTAAGGTATGATACAAACGAGGCCTAAGGGAAAATGGAAAACTAGAAAATTTCATTACAAAATATGTAACAACTATAGGGCTGGAGAGATAATACAGTGGGTGGCATGTTTGCCTTGCATATAGTAGCATGCTGACCTGGGTCTGTTCCCCAGTACCATATATGGCCCTAAGCTCCACCAGGAGTAATACATAATAGGACCAGGTGTGGTCCAAAAACCAAAAACAAACAATATATAACACCAAAAAAAATACATAACAAAAATCTATGACAATGTATTCCATACTATGATACAAAGAGTTTTTCAAATCACTAAAAAAGCAGAGACATACTGAGAAAATACCAAGGGGGAAAAAAAGGCAACTCACCAAAACCTAATTATAAATGGCCAATAAACAGACAACATAGAGAAATGAAAGCAAAATACTGAAACATTTTTTAACCTACCAGATGAATCAAGATAAAAGACCTAAACAATCCCTGATGGAGTTGAGGCTGTTGGTGAGAGTGCTATTATAAACAGCTTTCAAGATTCATGCAGCAATGTAAATACATGTAAGTGTATACAGCTTTTATTCCAATAACTTCACTTCTAGGAATTTTGCCCAAGTGATAATTTAATGTAATTACACAGACTCGTGTAAGGACATCTGGAAACAATCTAAATGCACAATGCACAATAGAGTACTGGTTAAATAAATTATGGTACAAATCCATAATGCACTAATTATTGACTGTCGCCCCCCCCCCCAACAAAAATGGAACCAGGATATGTTAATTAACACATTGATGCTGGAGCATACCATGGTGGCTCACCCTTGAATGTGGTTTAAGGAAACAACTGCAGTGACGGCATTAATGTCTGAATGAACAAAGCATGCTACTAAACTCCATGCAAAGACTGACCCCATTTTGGGTCCATGGAGGTGAGCTGAAAAAAGGTATGGCACACACACACACACACACACACACACACACACACTCCAAAATGATTAATTTGCTTGCTTTCAAAGAGCACATAATACTTTTTATACTGATTGCTTTGTTGTATCAGCTGCCCACACACTTGGATATAGTAAAAACATACAAGCCCTCTCTTTCAAATTAAGCACCGCTGTTTAACCAAAAAGGCTAAACAAAGTTGGCACAGGGCCTGTGGCACCTTTTGACTGGCCACTGCTTCCACTGGCTTTCTCTTGGATAAATAGAATGAAAAAACAAAAGGTTTAAGAAAATCACAATGTGAGATTAGAAATAAAGGGCCGGGGGGGTGGCACTGAGAATTCTTTTATACTTCTTTTTCAAATCCATTTAAATATTAACTTTATTCTAGCTAATGTGTAATTTGAAGATAATCACTTCAGCTCTGTTTTATCTGAAGTGCCCAGGTGCAATGTTAAGTCCTGAGTCAGAGGCAGATTTTTAACTGGTTCCCCAATAAACCTTCATTTATTTAGGTACTTGTGTCTTGTAGAATTGTTGGGGGTGGGGTGGGGAGAGGAGGGTAGTAACTTTGAGGGAAAAAAATAGGCATAAAAATCCAGCTACCCAATAATACTCCATAAAATCCCTTAACAATGTATACCGGGGGCAGAGTGAGAGTACCATGAGGAAGAAACTTGGCTTGAACATGGAGAACTGGGGTTCAATCCCTGACTCCCTACATGGTCCCCAGCCCTGCCAAAAGTAATCCCTGAATGCAGAGCCAGGAAAGGACTGTAAGGGCTAGCCACGGATTAGCGCAGTAGTTAGCTCAACAGCCGATCAAATACAGAGTGAGAACAAACTTGCAGGCAGACGACTTGGCCCCCAGTTCAAATCCCTGTTCTGATTCAACCCAGTTTTTCCACTCTAACATGGAAACAATAGGCCCTAGTCTCCTACCACACAAAAACGCTAGGAGGACAGAAGCAAAGACGCTGGGCACGTGCGCGAGTCAGGGGATAGAAGTGAAGACACTGGGCATACGCAAAGTCAGGACACAGAAGCAAAGATGCTGAGCACGTGCGCGAATCTGGAGCCAGCTGCTCCGGGTCTCGGCAGCCTAGGTTTTCGACTCCCAGTCTGAAAGGAAGCTCCCGACCAATCTGCACCTGACCTCTGTACTCTGTTCCCAAGACAGGTGATGGGGAAAAGATCCTTCCTCCATCTCTGCCTCAGGATCTAACTTCACTCTGTGGGACTGTCAACTTAGACTGCTCCCGGCTCATGGTCTGGCTAGAAAACCCTGCCCTCGCCCAGAAGACTCACTCTCAGTCTCCTCCCTTCACTAGGAGTTCACGGGCTGCAGAGAAAAGAGAGCGCGCAGGCACATGCCTGCCAGGCAGCCAAACCAGGTTTGAGCCCTAGCATCACATACACCCTGCCCCACTCCAAGAGTGAGCACAGGGCCAGGAGTCAGCATGACCCCACATCCACCACCGCCCTCAAAAAAACAACCCGAGTTTACTCCGAGGGGGAATTATCTTGTGGTGATGCTACCAGGTGGGTTTAGAAACTGTAATGCAATTTTTGTGTTTGTGGGGGGAAAAATATTAAAAAGAGCTGCAGGAACATAGCCAAAGCTCTGCAAATGGCGAGTATTCACTTGTTGAGTATTAGCACTGAGCATGTCTGCTCTATATTTTGGGTCATTTAGAGGAAGTGAAAAAGTCTAAGCTTTGAGTCCCCCGAGATATGCCAAAAAAAGGCAGAACTTCTTTTGCTACTTCAGTTCTCTTTCATGAATGCTTTACATTTTTGCACTGTGCCCGGAAGCATATTTTACTTACTTGTCAATTATTTTCGATTTTATTTTTGGTATTTCTGAGATTTCTTCCTTTCCATGATAATTATGGTACGTTATCATGTGGGCAACTGTAGCTTCTAAAGCTACATTTAACTGGAGATTAAGTGGGGAAGGTGGCTAAAGAAACATATGGTGTCTACAAAACAGAAAAGGGAAAAAAAAAAAGAGTGGAGGCTGGGGTTCCCTTCAGTTAGAGGGTTTCTCTGGAATCCTTGCAGAAGCAAAACTCTTCCTAAGCCCAGACATTTGTAAGAATTCCACATTTAGCTCGACAGAAGTGAGAACAGGATGTTTTAATCATCACATTCGAAAATAAAAGTAAAAACCTATTCGCATTTGTGTATTGAGAGCTCTACTTTGAAATCCATTCATTGGAGAGAAGGAGGTTTGGAAATATTGATCCTGAGCCGCGGCCTGAAGTTCTTTGGAAGGAAAAAAAAAGCATTTATTTTAATATTGCCAGGCGTAGGGGGCTGTGGCAATATTAAAATCGGACTCTTCATAACTGAGCAGGAGGTGCATCTCCACCTCTCCCTACTGTCTCCTGTGCCGTCTGGCCCAGGCTGCTCAGACCAGGCCTACAAAGTCCAGCATGGTGGTCAGGCCAATCCGCTGCATCACAGAGTCCTCTTTCCCCAGGTCCGCAACACTACGCAAGCCCAGGGCCATGTCCACACAGGCTGCACCCTGGGACTGTGCAGTGGAGTTGCCACCCTCTCTCCAAGCCCACATTTCATTCTCCAGGCCAGGATAGGGAGGGGGAGGAGAGCACTCTTACTTGGAAAAACCATGAGTCTCTTTCTCTGTTGGATATTTAGTGAGCTTTGGAGTGACACTGTCAGAAAGGAAAATTAAGGATTATTGAGTCAGGCTTTTAGTTTATCTTTTTGCTGTGTATGTGTGTGTTTACATGTGTGTATGATGCATGCATATCACACACACACACAACTGGTTCAGGTTTTATAGTCTAATCTAATACTCTCCACCTGTAAGTTCAGCCTATTGACACAGACGCAGGCCCAGGACTGCTATTATCTCCTGTGTCATGGTTCATGGCCCGATAAGAGCTTCTGAGGTGGATAAAGGGATGCTCATGTCACCCACATTGTACTTGCCTCACTGTAAACATGCATAGACTCTGGCCAGGAGCGTGATTCTGTCTCCACCCACTAACTACACAACCCTGGGCTGGGCGGAAGAACACCTGCCTTGACAAACCACACTATCACCAAATCTAAAGAGAGATGCAGGGTTGGAGAGATAGTACAGCGGGGAAGGCACTCACCCTACATGTGGCTGGCCCAGGTTCTACCACTGGCATCCCATATAGTGCCCTGATCATGGCTAGGAGCCTGGGTGTGACCCCTAAGCACCCCCACCGCAAAACAAATAAAGGAAGGGACAGAGCACTTCAGGGAGATACTTGGCAGTAAAACATTAACTCAGGCTACTATAAACATTTTTGAGGAAGGAAAAAAGAGTTTAAATTACAGTATCTCTGCTGAATGATAGCACAGCGGGTAGGGCGTTCGCCTTACAAGCAGCCAACAGGGCCAACCCGAGTTCGATTCCTCCGCCCCTCTCGGAGAGCCCGGCAAGCTACCGAGAGTATTCGATATGCCAGACACAGTAACAACAAAGTCTCCAATGGAGACGTTACTGGGCCCGCTCGAGCAAATCGACGATCAACGGGAGGGCCTTTACCTTTACCTTTACCTGCTGAATGAAGATTTGTGGGTTTTTTTAATACATATTATAACAACTCAAGAGTATGAAAGCAATGTTGCCTGGTTGACAGTGCAGGAAACTCATGGAAAGTGGCATACTTTCTCATCCGCTGGTTGATGAACTGGAGGCAAGGGGGCTGCTTCTCTGAAGTTGGCTGACTTTGTATGCTGCCCAAACTAACGCTCTGTAACATTTTCAATGACCTCCTTCATGAAGCCAATTCTGAGCCCAATGTGAAGTTCACCCCACTGCCTACTGGCAGAGAAACGGATCCTGAATTATTTCATGAACATGCTAGAAAGGAAGAGGCGGAGATTCTTGCAGCCAACGTCCACGGAGGATTCTCTCTGGAGCCCTTGATCAGTAATTCACTGACTGTGGAGGAGCTTCTGGGCATGCACACAGACCTGGTGCTGCAGCAGGAATGATGTCCACGGTGCCTGGGTTTTCTCTGCTAGGGGTTTCCACAGAGAGCTCCCATCCGGAATAGGGGATCAAGATCCCACTGGGAACGGGGAAAGCTGTGCAAGTACACCTAGAGATAGGAGCCACAGGCAGCCTGCAAGCAGACATCCAGGGAACTGTCATATCATGGGCCCCTCGGCGCTTCACATCCTCCTGTGCAGAATCATGTAGAATCTAGACACAGAGGAGAAATGAAGTCACTGGCACATGTTGGGTTTTCCCAGGGTACCTCACTATGTGCCCACGGCCTGGGAGCAGCATGGGGAAGGCCACCAGCACAGAGCGGCCAGCTCAGCCATGGGCATTCCCAGAAGAGGGGGCATCAGGCGCCCAGACCCTTTCCCCCAGAAGTCCCTCCCTGCCTCCCTCCACCCCAGCTGCCCTTCAGGACTTCCCCCCACCCTCCCTTCAGTCCATCCATTCCCCCAAACAACGATGGTGTCACATACCACACAGCTGTGAAAGAGAGGGTTACAAGGACAACCACGACGGCCACGGAGCCCAGCCCAATGCCTGCCATCTGCTGCAGCGTGAGTGAGGAACCTGCGGGCAAAATGGAAGCAGCTGCTGGGGCGTCCCTGGCACCTGTGCGATCACGTGCACCTCGGACTCAGCCAGCTCCCTCGAAATCCACGTGAGTTTGCATCCATTTTGCTCAACTCCCAAGAATGCCTAGGGTGTTCACAGAGCTGCAAATTGGCACTGGGAACCTCAAGCTTCAGGAAACTTTAGGTGTGTTTGTGTGTGTGTGTGGGGGGGGGGGGGGGAGTAGTTTCTAGAAAGGCACTGCAAACTCCACCCTGCAAAGGTAGGGTCAAAATAAAGGCCGATTTACTGAACCCACTCCGACACCTCCCCATGCAGCTCCTGTCCATCCTCTCTCAACCAGTCACCCTGGGCAGATTCTTATGGAGAGGATCCCTTGGCACCAAGATTCTCACACCAATTGGATTGGTTTGCTCCAAACCGTTAGCGCTATATAGACCTTATATAACAAATAAATCTTCTCTGTGAGACACAGTCCCCAGTTATTTTCCCGAACCATCAGCGAGGATGATGCTGCTCTGCCCTGTTCAGCCAAGGTAAAATCGGAAACCCGAGGCACGAGGCCTCTGAAAGGCCGGTGGACACCCTACTCTGGGTACAGCCCAGGGCAATGCGGGGGAGAACCCCTGGCTACCCAGTGAAAGGAACAGCACAGACATTTGAATCGCACCCCTCAAGAACTGAATTGAGTGGCAGTAAAGGACTCCATGTGACTCACAAACTCGTCCTTAGCACTGACTCTGGGCCAGCCCCATCCTTAAGCATCTCTCAGAACCTCTCAGCAAGCACTGTATGGATGAGTCTCAAAAAATTAGAAATTGAGCTCCCATTTGACCCAGCAATACCACTCCTGGGAATATATCCCAGAGAGGCAAAAAAGTATAGTCGAAGTGACATCTGCGCTTGTTTGTTCACTGCAGCACTGTTTACAATAGCCAGAAACTGGAAAAATCCTGAGTGCCCGAGAACAGATGACTGGTTAAAGAAACTTTGGTACATCTACACAATGGAGTACTATGTAGCTGTTAGAAAAGATGAAGTCATGAAATTTACATACAAGTGGTACAACATGGAAAGTATCATGCTAAGCGAAATGAGTCAGAAAGAGAGGGATAGACATAGAAAGATTGCATTCATCTGGGGGATATAAAGTAACAAAGTATGAGATTAATACCCAAGAATAGCTAAGATCAGCACCAGGAGGATTACTCCATAACTTAGAGGCCAGCCGGGTATCCTAGAGGAAAGGGCAGTTCAGATAGAGAAGGGAGCACCAAATAAAGGGTGTTTGGAGGATCCTCCCAGGAGGGGAGATGCATGTCGAAAGTAGACTATGGACTGAACATGTTTGCCACTCAATGCCTCTTTTGCAGACCACAACACCCAAAAGGAGAGAGAGAACACAGGGGATTGCCCTGCCACAGAGGCAGGGGGGGATGGGGGGATGGGGGTGGGGGGATATTATCCATGGTGGTGGAAAATGGGCACTGGTGGAGGGATGGGTATCTGATCATTGTATAACTGAAACCCAAGCACAAAAATTTATAAGTCTATAACTGTACCTCATGGTGTTTCACTAATAAAAAATTTAAAAAAAAAAGAATGGAGAGTGCACGGAGGGCTCTCACTAGCCCACTTTCCACATGCAGCGAGACTCAGCTCACAGCGCCAGGATTCACACTCCTGCTGTCCACTCCAGCTGCCCACAGCACTGCACTTTCCCAGCAGGGGGGTAGGGCTGTCACAACCAGGAGTCAGGGGTATAAGTCCAACCTTTCCTGAACAGACTGACGCTGAAGGGGCCTGGGGCTAGTCAGGTTCTTCTTTGGAAGAATAAACGTCTGTGTGTAAAGGTGTCCCCAGTCCTCCAAGAGCTTTTTTTTTTTTTTTGCTTTTTGGGTCACACCCAGCGATGCTCAGGGGTTACTCCTGGCTCTGTACTTAGGAATTACTCCTGGCGGGGCTTGGGGGACCATATAGGATGCTGGGAATCGAACCCAGGTCAGCCCCATGCAAGGCAAACGCCCTTTCTGCTGTGCTATATAGTTCCAATCCCCAGACCTCCAAGATCACTTAGGGGCTGACTCTGTATAGGAAATAAAAATAACCAAAAAACAACGAAGGGACACTGGGACTGGTGGTGGTGGGTGTGGAGTGGCAACATGCATTTGAACAGATGTGAAACTGTAACCCTAAAACATTCAGTCTTATAGGCCAACATTGCCTCAATAAAATGGAAACCTGAAAAATGAAACGAACCCAACAAACCATAAATGTGTGTAAGAAACTGCAGGCTTGTCTGGATTTCGCTGCATGATTTGCATCCACTGTCACTGCTGGAATATCAAATTACTTCCTCCTTCTGTGCTCTCCTTTTCCAGATGCCCCACGGTATGCACTTAATCTGCCCCTTGGGTAACCCAGCTCTGCCTTGGAGGAGCTGAAAATAGCAAAATCAAAGATCCAAAGGGGGTGAGGTCTTTCGAGAGAAAATAGTAGCTTCTGAACTTCCGGAACCTGGAGACACAGACCATTTATTTTCCTGGCAATGAATTAGCTACACTTGAGAAAGTCTGAGCTCCTTAACTTTTCCATCATCTATCTACATTGTCCAATAGGCAGCCCATGATCCACAATGTGATCTCCATTGTGAGACTTCTTGTTACTGTGTTTGGCATATTGAATACTCTCGGTAGCTTGCCAGGCTCTCCGAGAGGGGCGGAGGAATCGAACCCGGCTCGGCCGGACTGGCTGCACGCAATGCAAACGCCCTACCGCTGTGCTATCACTCCAGCCCTTGACTATTTAAATCTAAGTTAATTTAATTCCATTTAAAATTTTGTATCTGGGGCTGGAGAGATAGTATAGCCAGTAAGGCACTTGCTTTGCATGTAGTGGAACCGGGTTCAACCCCCTGCAACCCCTGTGGTCTCCCCCCGCCCCCAGAATTTCCAGGAGTGATTCCTGAGTGCAGAGCCAGGAGTAACCTCTGAGTATCGCTGGATGTGGCCCCCAAAACATAAAAAAATCCATTTCCAATGCCTGCAAGCTATGCGTGATTAATACCATACTGTATGCATAACTAATACCATACTGTATGGTTAATACCACATCATACAGTACAGCTTTGAAATCTTTCCAACACTGCAGGAAGTTCTATTGATCGGCACCATTCAGATCTCAAAAGGCAGGTCAGGAACAATTTCGTTCTGTTGGGGACTCTAGGAGAGCTGGCACCATCAACAGCCGCCAAGGAGCACACCTTTTGCTAACAAAGCCCTTATAGTTGTTGAGTACGGGAATTAACATAGCACTGTCCTCCTGTTGTTCATCTACTTGCTCGAACGGGCACCAGTAACGTCTCCATTGTGAGACTTGTTGCTACTGCTTTTGGCATATCGAATACATCATGGGTAGCTTGCCAGGCTTTGCCATGCGGGTGGGATACTCTTGGTAGCTAGCCGGGCTCTCTGAGATGGGCAGAAGAATCGAACCTCGGCTTGACCTTGTGCAAGGGAAACACCCTACCCGCTGTCCCAAGTACATCATACAATGGCAAAACCTGAAAGCTGGAATCCAGTTTTCCAAATCTGATTATGAGCACAAGTACTCTGCAACTGTGTGGCTTTGGGAAGTTATTCAGCCATCCTGTGCCTCAGTTTCCCCACTAAGGGGTGATTAAACAAGGAAGAAAACAATGGCACATCATAGGGTCATTTTTTGATAAATGAGTTTAAATGTGTTAAAACACTATTACTGGGGGGGAATCAGTTGTCTTTCTATTTACTTTTATTTGTTTGATTTTTGTGCCATACTCAGTGATGCTTGGGAGTTCCTCCTGGTTCTGTATTCAGGAATTACTTCTGGAAATGCTTGGGGGACCGTTTGGAATGCTAGGGACTGAACCTAGGTTGGCTGTGTGAAAGGCAAGTGCCTTACTCACAGTACTCTCTCTCCCTCTGGTTCCTTTTTTGTCTTTATCTCCTGTACCTCAAACTTCTCTCCTCAGGTACAGGAGATAATACAACTGAATTCTACAGTCAGTGTCCACTGTTTTTCTGCTGTCATTATTTTTTTTTAGTACCAGGGATCATATATGGGACTTTAGACGTGCAAAGCATGCACGCTACCCCTGAGCTATATCTTGGGTCCCGAATTTATCTTTAGTTCTGTCTTTATCAATTTTATAGCCTGGTATACTGTACACATAGGCAGAAATATCTAATACTTGCCTTTTTTCTCCTACCTGATTTCTCCTAACTTCACCTCATTCCCTTGAGCTCCTTCCATTTCGTTGTGAAGTCAAACCCCTCATCATCTGAACCACCGAGCACTATATTCTCTGTGCCACATTCTTCTCCAATGCTCTCCTGATGGTTGCCTCCATAATTTGGCTACTGTCAAGAACATTTCAATACACATTGCAGTGGACATAACTTTTTGTTTTATTCTTTTTATATTCTTCAGATAGGTACCCAGAAGTGCAATTTCTGGGTCATACAGTAACTATCTTTTATTTTCCTGAGGAAGTTTCATAGTGCTTTCCAAAATAGTTGTACCCATTTCCGTAAGCACCAAAAGCACAGAGCACAAGAGGATGGGGCCCCATCCATGATTCTCAGCCAATCAGGCTGATTTATTGCAAGGCCTGAGGATGTGATGCTATTCAGGCCCTATAATGCTAGCACCACCCAAGCTGTGTTGGGGATGTCCAGGGCCACACTGGTGGTGATTAAAGGCATCCAGGGTTGGACCAGGTGATGTTTGATGCTTGGGAGACCATGTGGTAATCCCTGAGCACCACTGGTGTGATACCCTCCTCAAAAAAAAAAAACCAACAAAATATAAATATATAAAGAGAGATTTACAGTAGAGAGAAGCTGGATCTTTCCAGAACTGCCTTTTTCATTAACACTGCCCATGTTCTTCCTTTGTTAATCAATATTTCCTATTTTTTTTTCCTGTGGCTTCATCTTCTCGATATTTTAGTCATTACT